CAGAAAAATACACCTTCTTAATGATAACAGCAGGTTATTAACCCAAAAAACACATTTGTTCCCCCCCAAAAAACGGGTTATTACCAAAAAAAGCAGGTTATCACAAAAGAAAAATAATCACATTGTTATCAAAAAATTCACAGTTTTACCCAAAAAAAGCACATTATTACCAAACCTCCTGCATTCTTATGGAAAATCTAGAGATTGTTATCATAAACCAGACATTATTACCTAAAATAGAAGATTATCGGTCAAAAAAAAGACATTATTTCCTAAAATATCACACTGTTACCTAAAATGTGAGATTATTACTAGAGAAGGTAAAAGTTATTACCTAAAACAATCACAGTTTTATCTAAAACAACCACAATTTTACCTAAAATGAGAGATTATTCCTTAAAAAATTCACATTGCCTAAAATAAGCACATTATTACCCAAAACACATGACTACTACTAAAAAAAGCAACTGTTATTACCTAGAACAGGAGATGTAATTAAACACAGTCATTATTACCTAAAACACCTGATTTTACTAAAAATAAAGGTTATCAGAAGAAAATTGTTACCTTAAAACACACAACAACCGCTAAAAATAAATTATTGTTAAAAAACGAACGTGGTTAACCAAGAGATTGTTGCATTGATGACACATTTTCACCTAAATCTGCATAAATTATTGCCCAAAATTTCAAGTTTTGGGTTAATTAATTTCCCCCATGTCCCAGGGAGTTTGATCCTGAATCCCAGGGGGGTTCTGACCCCAAATTCCCCAGATTTAACCCAAAATTTGGGGTTGTTGTTCCTGATGTGATCCCAAATCCTGGAGGTTTAGCCCTGGAATCTCAGGGGGGTTCTAACCCCAATTTCAGGGGGGTTTAAACTCAGAAATCTGTGGGTTCTGACCCTAAAATCCCATTTTTCCCCCAAAATTTTACCAATGTGGGTGTGCTCCTGCTCGCACCTCAGACTTGTGGGGTGGGCAAAGAAATCTGAGCCCAAACCCTGAGTTCTGACCCGAAACCCTGAGATCTGAGCCCANGTGTGCTCCTGCTCGCACCTCAGACTTGTGGGGTGGGCAAAGAAATCTGAGCCCAAACCCTGAGTTCTGACCCGAAACCCTGAGATCTGAGCCCAGACTCTCATTTCTGACCCTAAACCCTGAGTTCTGACCCAAAACCCTGAGATCTGAGCCCAAACTCTCATTTCTGACCCTAAACCCTGAGTTCTGACCCGAAACCCTGAGATCTGAGCCCAAACTCTTATTTCTGACCCTAAACCCCAAGCCCTGACCCCAAATTCCGAGCCCTGACCCTAAACCCCAAGCTCTAAGCCTGAACCCCAAACTCTGACCCCGAACCACAAGCTCTGACCTCAAACCCCAAATTCTGACCCTAAACCCTGAGTTTTGAGCCCAAACCCTGAGCTCTGACCCTAAAACCCAAGTTCTGACCCTAAATCTCAAGTTCTGATCCCAAACACTACGCTCTGACCCTAAAACCCAAGCTCTGAGCCTGAACCCCAAACTCTGACCCTACACCCTGAGCCCAAACCCCAAATTCTGACCCTAAACCCTGAGCTCTGAGCCTAAACCCCAAGTTCTGACCCTAAATCTCAAGTTCTGACCCCAAACCCCAAATTCTGACCCTAAACCCAAAGCTTGGACCCTACACCCAGAGCTCTGAGCCCAAAGCCTGAGCTCTGACCCTGAACCCCATACTCTGACTCTAAAATCAAAGCTCTGACCCTAAACCCCAAGCTCTGACCCCAAACCCCAAATTCTGACCCCAAACCCTGAGCTCTGAGCCCAAATCCCAAGCCCTGACCCTAAAACCCAAGTTCTGACCCTAAACCCGAAGCTTGAACTCTACACCCAGAGCTCTGAGCCCAAACCCTGAGCTCTGAGCCTAAACCCAAAGCTCTGACCCCAAACCCCAAGCTCTGAGCCCACACCCCAAATTCTGACCCTAAACCCTGAGATGTGACCCCAAACCCCAAGTTCTCAGCCCAAAGCCTGAGCTCTGAGCCTGAACCCAAATTTGTGACCCCAAACCCCCGTTTCCCCCGAACGGTTACCGATGTAGGCGCGCTCCTGCTCGCGCGTCAGCCCGGGCGGGATCACCGTGGGCATCCCCNTGTGGGTTCTGACCCTAAAATCCCATTTTTCCCCCAAAATTTTACCAATGTGGGTGTGCTCCTGCTCGCACCTCAGACTTGTGGGGTGGGCAAAGAAATCTGAGCCCAAACCCTGAGTTCTGACCCGAAACCCTGAGATCTGAGCCCAAACTCTCACTTCTGACCCTAAACCCTGAGTTCTGACCCGAAACCCCAAGCCCTGACCCCAAATTCTGAGCTCTGACCCTAAACCCCGAGCTCTGAGCCTGAACCCCAAACTCTGACCCTACATCCTGAGCTCTGAGCCCAAATCCCAAGTTCTGACCCGAAACCCTGAGATCTCACCCTAAACCCCGAGCCCTGACCCTAAAACCCTAGCTCTAAGCCTGAACCCCAAACTCTGACCCCAAACTCCAAGCTCTGACCCTAAACCCAAAGCTCTGACCCTAAACCCCGAGCTCTGAGCCCAAATCCCGAGCCCTGACCCTAAAACCCAAGTTCTGACCCTAAATCTCAAGTTCTGACCCCACACCTCAAGCTCTGACCACAAACACTAAGCTCTGACCCCACAGCCTGAGCTCTGTGCCCAAATCCTGAGCTCTGACCCTAAAACCCAAGCTCTGAGCCTGAACCCCAAACTCTGACCCTACACCCTGAGCCCAAACCCCAAATTCTGACCCTAAACCCAAAGCTCGGACCCTACACCCAGAGCTCTGAGCCCAAACCCTGAGCTCTGACCCTGAACCCCATACTCTGACTCTAAAATCAAAGCTCTGACCCTAAACCCCAAGCTCTGACCCCAAACCCCAAGCTCTGCGCCCACACCCCAAATTCTGACCCCAAACCCCAAGCTCTGAGCCCAAACCCAAAGCTCTGACCTCAAACCCCAAATTCTGACCCTAAACCCTGAGCTCTGACCCTAAACCCCAAGTTCTGACCCTAAATCTCAAGTTCTGACCCCAAACCCCAAATTCTGACCCTAAACCCTGAGCTCTGAGCCTAAAACCCAAGTTCTGACCCCAAACCCCAAGCTCTGACCTCAAACCCCAAATTCTGACCCTAAACCCTGAGCTCTGAGCCCAAAGCCTGAGCTCTGAGCCTAAAACCCAAGTTCTGACCCCAAACCCCATATTCTGACCCTAAACCCAAAGCTCAGACCCTACACCCAGAGCTCTGAGCCCAAACCCTGAACCCCATACTCTGACCCCAAACCCCAAGCTCTGCGCCCACACCCCAAATTCTGACCCCAAACCCCAAGCTCTGAGCCCAAACCCCAAATTCTGACCCTAAACCCTGAGCTCTGAGCCCAAATCCCAAGCCCTGACCCTAAATCTCAAATTCTGACCCCACACCCAAATTCTGACCCTAAACCCTGAGATGTGACCCCAAAACCCAAGTTGTGAGGCCAAAGCCTGAGCTCTGAGCCTGAACCCAAGTTTGTGAGCCCACACCCCGATCTCAGCGACCCCA